GACAACAATCCCCGGTTAGATTCATGTTTGATTTTAAACGTTTTGAGACGGCTTGACTGAGTAATGAAAAACTTTATTATAAATGTACGACGTTTCGACAAGATTTTGTCATACTCAGGTACTTGAGAATGACAAAATATTGTCGAAATGTTGTACATTTATAATAAAGTTTTTCATTATCCAGTCAAGCCGCCTCAGACTTTTATTTTCTAAAAAAGTGGGTTCCTCGTTATCAAGTTTTTATGTTTGATTTTTTTGGTTCATATCTATAACATTTTTATATGAAAAAACTAATAATGTATTTTCAAAATAAAATCCATTGTGGTTTCTTTCAATGTTTATTCTAGAATATTCATGTAACACACCTTTTGAATTTCCATTTGCCATCATTACTTGCAGGAGCAAACTGGCTGTGTTAACACAGTTAGGAGCAAGGCGAAAAATAAAGGTTTCATTGTACTTTGGTTCAGTCGTTTTTTTTACCATGACGGACTTCTTTCTTTTCACTGGTTTATTGTCCACCAATAGCTTTAGCTTGACATAAGAATCTGTAAAAAATCATAATCATAAAAAAATCAGCTATATAAGTTTTCTAGAATTACATGTTTATGTTCAAAGTGTAAACATATTTTAGTATATAGAGAGGAATTTTTAGAAAGTTGCTCATGAAGAATATCCATAAAATTATTCGTATGTTACATATGTAATATTCACATGTTTCAAACCTTATTCTCCTATCGTTTATTTTTATCTTTACAAAACTTTTATATTTCTCTAGGTTCAGACCATGTGCAATATTCAACCTGAGGTGTTACTTTCTGTCTTATCAATGGAATTATCTACTATTTTATGGGATGGTTTTACAATAGGTTCTACGTGAACATAAATATAAAACAGCGATACTTCCGCATTCTAGCGCCTTTTTTTTTTTCTGATTGGTCAACTACAGGTAGAAGGTGTTTACTGAATGTCATTTTGGTGCTTTCAAGAGAGAGATTGGTTCTATCTTTCAGGATTGTTTGTTTGGTTTGTTTTGAATTTCGCATAAAGCTACACCAGGGCTATCTGTACTAGCCGTACCTAATTTAGCAAGAAAGACTAGAGGGAAGGCAACTAGTCATCACCACCAACAATTCTTGGGATACTATTTTACCAACGAATAGTGGGACTGACCATTACATTATAACGCCCCCACGGCTGAAAGGGCGAGCATGTTTGGTGGGACGGGGATTCGAATCCACGACTCTCAGATTGCTAGTCGAGTTCCCTTACCACCTGGCTATGTCAGGCCTATCTTGTTTTCGTATTTGAGAGCATCAAGAACTATTTATGAATGCCAGTTCTTGTTCGACTACCCACTTCCATCTGCTGGTCCTGTGTGCTTTGTTTTACTTTCTGTTCATTTACCAGTTAGGTTTGCTTCAATTATCTTTCCGCTGAAATACAGTTGATTTTATGTTGTTGTTTTTTATTTTCCCCACAACACACTTGTATGCCCATTCCTTCATTTTACTTTTCTTATCATCTTCAGCATATTTTATTTTACTCAGACTTCAACACCATGTCTTGTTTCTTTCAATTCACCTGAAACTAATCGCTGTAACTATCCTTTTACGTACCAAGTCCTCGAATGTGTGTGTGTGTTTTCTTCTAGCAAAGCCACATCGGGCTATCTGCTGTATCCACCGAATGGCATCGAACCCCTGATTATAACGTTGTAAATCCTAAGACTTATCGTTGCCTCATCGGAAGACCCAAGTCCTCGAAACTTTAGTTTTGCGGAGATCAGATGACCGTGCACTTGGTGAGTCCTCGAACAAGCGCTAGAGATAGAAGTGAATAATCCCACTCCTCCCCGGTGGGGCAGCGGTAAGTATAAGGACTTACAACGCTAAAATCTAGGGTTAGATTCTCTGTGGGGAACACGGCAGATAGCCCAATGTGACTTTGCTTTTAAAAAAATAGAAGTGAGAAGTTTATTACATGAAAGAGTAGTATTATGAATATTTCACATACTAACTTGTGACCGGGCCGATCTGACTGAGAGCTCAAGTCTTTCAATAAACCAATTTTTAAGATTTGAATTCACTAACTTGTGATAAGCTACGACGCTACGTTCGTTTGAAGCAGGTTCCCAAACTGGGGTTAATGACTCTTGGAGGGGATGGGGAGTCACGATATGGGTTTAGGGTGAACACAACACATACAAAATATAGTCTTTTCCAATAGTGACTCTATAATGGCTTAAGTATTTTTACACCCGAGACAATTATGATGAAGTGTACTCCCCACCTCCCAACCACAGTTTATATAATCATAAGGCAAAAACAATCCTGTTTATAATAATACATAAATTAAAAAAATGTATGGGAAAATTTTCCCAAATTCTATCATAAGGTTTAATTCTCAAATATCTGTTAAAATAGCTGGAGCTCTGCGTCCCCTTCCTGGTTGCGCCGGGGACAGCCCCCACGCTCAGCCCTCTCTAGTTACGCTATTGCTGTTATAACGTCTGAAGAGTGTCATTGCTAACAATACGCTCCATTATAACAGCAAAAGGACAACTGCGAGGAAAACAAAACAGACACCAGTAATTTAAGGTACGTTACTCCATTTCTGTGGATTCTGTGAGCGAAATTCTTAGGATACCTAATGTCATGGGGGATCTTGCGATAATAAAATTTAGTAACCCCTGATGTAAACCGCATAATAATGTAGTCTGATAACATTATGATGCTAAAAATAATGTTATAATATAGGTTTATTATATTTATTGTTATGTGTGCAGTTAAAGTTATATTTAAAACAAAATCTGGGCTACAACAACACTTGATATATTCAAATACAGTAAATAAATGAACAATTTGGTTCTCGTCGTAATCAAGGTAATTTGGATTGCATCACTTGGAAGTTGGAAACTTGGGTTTGAAATCAAACTTATAAATTGTCGTCTAGAGTTTGAATATTCGATTACATCTATTAAATGCTTTGATATTTAACCAAATCTAACGTATCTGGAATATTAACTAATATAAAAATGAGCGCAATATTAGTGTAAGTGGTTTCTTGGTAAGATGACCGACACGCGACTTCATTCATACTAGTTCTGTCAATTTGTAGCTTGAATTAAAGCGTAAAGTGTATCTAAATGTTGTTCAAAGTAGTTGAAAATACATAAAGTATAATAATAATATAGACTATAATTCACAAACATTATATCAACATACCTTACAATATATACAAAATCGAAACTGATGAAAGTTCCATACGTCACGGCCTGGCACAGTCAGGCGGTGAGAGCGCTTGACTCGCAATCTGAGGGTCGCGGGCTCGAATCCCAGTCCCACCAAACATACTCGCCCTCTCAGTCGTGGGAGCGTTATAATGTGACGGTCAACCTCAATATTCGTTGGTAAAAGAGTATCCCAAGAGTTGGCGGTGAGTGGTGACGACTAGCTGCCTTTCCTCTAGTCTTTCGCCGCTAAATTAGGGACGGCTTGCGCAGATAGCCCTCGTGTAGCTTTGCGCGAAATTCAAAACAAAACATATCCATACGTCACAGATATATTTTGTAAGTGTAAGTGCTTTTCAGTAAGGACCACAACAAGCTTTATGTGGCTTCCAATATGGCGACGCAATGGCATCAAGTTTGCATAGTGATACTACAGCGGAAGTCGCGTGACGCTGAGAGCATGCGCGCTGGAGTTTCTCGAATTATTGAGGAACCCCGCGAATGTCCGAGTGTTTGCTAACGCCCTCTTTTTTAGTATATAAGCCTGGCAAAGAAAGCCAGCAATATAGATAGATGAAGAGATAGATTGAAGAGAGAGATAATTGAGTCAAGCGAACAGTAGGCACCATAAGTAAAGTGTAAGAATCACTGTGATTTATAACGTGTGTTATAAAGGTTGTTAGGTTTAGAGTGACGAGGTAGTATTGACTGTGGAGATTCTGTGTATTACAAATTTGTATGGAGGAAGAATAAACTGGGTTAATCAAGAAAGGACTTGTATCGCTGAAGTTTCTAGGAAAGAATTTATACCGGAAATTAACAAACAAGCAGATACGTAACAATAGTTTTGAGCGATCCAATCAAATATAAAAAATTGATAATCTATACATATGCATAAATTGTTCAGTCGAAAGATACTTAATTTGGTGGGTCTGGCCTTAATGTCTAGAACTTTCTTTAAAGTTTAGGAAATAAGCTGAGCCATATATAATAAAAGCGTTTTAGGCTGAGGTTAGTTACTGAGTCTCTTAAACTGAGTTATTGAGTTAGCAAGTTTATTAGTCAGCTAAGGAATGAACAGAGCATGATTCAGTCATTTTATCTGTTACTCTCAACCAGTTAGTCAGCTATTTAGCTCCTTTCTCTATATGCCCTAAATTTAGAATACTGCAGTTTGAAACTTAAAACTTATCTTAGAAAATTATGGTGTAACGAATTTATTGTTATGTATTTATTTTAATATGAATGTTGTTTAGATTAAGTTTATATTTAGAAACATACATAGCTTATACTGTTAGATAGGTATTGCGAAACTCCCG